GAAAGACCTTCTGGGGGACCCTCCTTTCCACAGCCCTCCTCCCAGCCTTCTCGTACCTGCGCTGGATATGAAGCCCTCCCAGCCCCTGCCACAGGCTGTGCAAAGACAGAACTGCAGATCAAGAGCTCCAGCCAGCCAGGTCTTGGATACTTCCAGGAATGGAGAACTCATTACATCCAGGGCACCAATCATCTTGTGGGGTTCCTCCTTCCTTAAAATGAGCCACAGTCTGTGCCCAGGGCCCTCAGGAACCTGGGGGAAGGTCATGACCTCCCCTTTTGGAGCAGAGTGGAGGCTCCTGAACCGGAAGCTTCTGTCATGAGCCCTCAGGTCCTTCCTGCGTGGCCCAGCCCCTGGCCATCTGCACCACCCTTTGTTGGGTAAACCCCATATTGCCACCAACCTTCTTGGCTGGTAGCCTTCAGAACTGCTCCAAGGGTCCAGTTGAGGTCTGAGCAGCTCAGGTGCCTCCTCTCTGCTTCTGTTACTAAAGCGCCTTCGCTAGTGCCCCTCCTGCCCACGGTACATGTGCCAGGAGGAACAAATGCTCAGGGCCTGAGAGTCCTGCTCCTGGGCCAGCACATGCCTTCCTCGGCTCCTAACTCTCAGGCCTCCCCCAGCCTCGGACCTCAGGGGCCAGCCTGACTCCTCCCACCTGGGATGTGTGAAGTTCCTGGTCCAGTCAGCTGAAACTGCTCCTTCCAGTCACTTCCATCTGCTTTCTGGTGCCTGGCCTTGCTAATGTCACTTGAGGGGTCTAGTCTGAATCTTAGCACCTCCCAGCAACTACGCCCCTCAGAGCTCCAGCTTCAGACACCAAAAGGTGTGCCCAGGAGTCTGAGTGGGCAGCCTGCTCTGCCTGGAATTCTCTGGCTAGTGGCCTGAGGCCCTGGATGCCCCCATCTGGCAGTCAGCCACTCTGAGAACTGGAAAACCACAAGCCCACATGATAATATCTGAGGCATATTAACCACACAGTGCTTCCTCCTTGCTAACCTACTTCCTCCTCTCAGTGCTGACCCTACCGTGCAGCCAGCGGGCCCCAGGCTTGAAGGAGAGGCTCCCCCACCCTCAGCTGCTTCCCTGCAAGTACCCCATGTCTGCATCCCATGCTTGCGCAGTGGCTAATTCTGGTGTCTCATCAGACGGTAATTATGGGGGAATCAGCAGTGCTGTCATCTCTGCAGCTCGGCACCTGTCACCACACCACCATCCCCAGGCTGCTGGGATGGGACCGGAAGCTGAGGGGGGAGGGGCATGCTGGGGGGAGGGGCATTGGCACCGTTCCTGCCTCTGCAGCCCTCACTTCCCCACCCTGCCTCCTCAAGGTGAGCAATGCATAGCAGCCAGGTGGTCACCAGCCACACAAGTGCTCCCTGTTACCCAGGTCACTGAAAGCAGGGGCCATGTGTCCCATGTAGGCACCCCCATGACCAGAGAGAACCGGCAGAAAGACACAGCGAGCCAAGGCTCATATCTCACCTTGGCCACTTCCCACATGTGTGACCTTGAACAAGTCATTTCACTTCTCCAGGCCTCAGTTTCCCCAATGGCAAAATGGAGAAAATAGTGCCTCCCTTGTGAAGATGGGAAGAAATAAAATGTGTAAAGTATCTAGCACAATGCCTGGCACACATGTGGTTAGGTAGTCATTCAACAAACAATTCATACACAGCTACTATGTGTTAGGCAACATGGGGATGCCAAGATGAATGAGATGATTTAGCAAGGATCACACTGTGGCCGCACTGACTGAGGCACAGGCTTTTTTTTGGTGGGGAGGGGCTGGTGGTGTTTGGTGTTATTTCTTTGAATTGTAATACCTCGAAGGAGCACAGAAAGTGAGGTAAGGAAGTACCGGCTGCAGAGGCAGGAAGGCGTCCCTCCTCACGACAGTCCCCACCATTCCCTAGCATCCCTCATTTGCTGCCCCTGCAGGTACCCCATTTTACAGATGTAGGTGCTGAGTTTGCTGCCCCTACAAGCAAAAGTAGGCTAGTGGGCTTAGTTATGTCCAGAACTGGTAACTGTTCAAGAAAGGTCACATCAGGAGCCACCAGAAGTTTGACGGTGCTCCGGGAGATCCCAGGGTCAAGCCCAGAGGTGGTTGTCGGGGGAAGGGCACTTCAAGGAGGAGCAGAAATGGGAGGTGATAAAGGGGACGCAAGCCTCAGAGGCAAAGGCCCACGGGGGAGAAGGCCAGACCCGAGGCGGGCTGGTAGGGGCCCCACCTGGCTGCAGCACAGAGTCCTCAGGAGGAACGGGGTCGGGGAGGAAGGTGATGAATCCCAGCATCAATTCTTCATGGTGTTGGGCCGCAGAGGAGCCCTGCTTCCGGAGTGCAGAGAGCGAGGCAAAGGTGCACGAGGGAATGGGGCGAGACCCATGCAAAGCTTCAGGCGAAGGCGGAGGGGAGGAGGGTGTGGGGCTGAGGCTGCCCTGCTAGACACTGGGACTGTCTCCCTGAGCCCAGACATGCTACTTAACCCCTCAGGTCTGTCTGGCTCTTCCCCCGAAAAACAGAGACAGCAGCATTGAGCTCACAGGGCAGCTGTGAAGATGGAGTGAACTGACACCTGTACAGTGCATGACCCAGCAGGTGGCTCCCAGAAAGCACCCAATAAATACCGGCAGCCGTGTTTTCATCATTACCAGCGATAATTTTTTGTCCTCAAAACTCAGCCATGACTAAATGAGCCCATCCCCTGAAAGCCCACAGAGGGAGCACAGGTCTCTTCTAACCAAAACCGGAGTCAACAGTGAGGGGCTGGCCCAGTGTCCACTAGCACGGTAGCTGCCCGGCCCCACCCCTCTACCCTCACCAGGCATTTCAATAATCCTTCATCACACTCTTCCAGAACCCATCCATGTCTTATTCTGCTCTGGCTGATAAAGCCAGGACAGGGGCTGCTTCACCTTTTTACAGATGTAGAAAGTAAGTCTTGTAAGGTACTGAGCTCCCCGTCACTGGGGGCGTTCCAGAAGAGGGCGGGTGAAAGAGAACATTCAAGTCTCAGAGGCCCTTGCCCCGGCCCCCTCTGCCTGGTTCACTGCCCCTGAGCCCACAGTGCAGCCTGAGCTTGGCCCCTCTGCTGTTTGTGTGGGGAAGTGGTTGGGGGTGTAACTCACGGAGCCAGAAGGAGGGAAAGAGCTGCAATCTCAAGTCCCTCCGCATTTCCCTGTTTCCCGTTTCCCGGCTTCTCCCAGCAGCCAAGGATGGGGGAGGGAGGGAGCAGTGTCGTTGCTCTTTTAGGAAAACGGTAATTTTAATTAAGAAGCAGACAAACGAGCGCTCTGCAGATTGTCTCAGAGCAAAGTTAAAAAGCCATCAAGGCGGCAGCAGCCACGGTGGCAAGGAGAGCTGCCTCCCCCAGCTGCCCACCCGGATTGGGGCTGAACAGTTCAGAGGGCTGGAGAAGGGCTGGAGGACGTGGAACCTGAAAATAGCCCCTCTCCTGAGAAGGCAGGGCAGCGCTAGATAGTACCCAGGGTATAGCCTGCCCAACCCCGGGCAGCGGCTGGGGATGCAAAAGGTGCCTGCAATTAGGCAGCCCCTGCTGTGGGCCTGTCACTACTTTTTCTTGACTTTTCTCAACAAAGCTACCTGGGAGGTGTTCTTGTACCACTTTACAGGCACCAACACTGAGGCTCAGAGAGGGAGAGTGGCTTGTCCAAGGTCACACAGCTAGGACATGGCTGAAGTGGGGGTTTGAACCCAGGGCAGGCTGACTCTAAAGTCCAGTGCTCCAGGCTGCAGGTCCTGGGCCCAGATTTGCGGGGGTGGCTTCCCCCACCCACACCCCCTCCTCTAGCCAGGCTCCTTGATGTCCTCTGCAGCGGCCTCAGGAGCAGCCTAATAGTGTTGCCCTTAGTCCTCAGGGTTACCAGGGACTTGGAGGCCAAGTCACTGCTTGCTTGGCAGGGTCACGTTATGAGGGGCTGCTGTTCAGCGACAAAGTTACAAAGGAGCTGCCAGCAGGGGGAGCAGGGGCAGACAGACAGAGGACAGGCCCCACAGCCAGGAAATCTTCCAACTCCTCAACCTCTACTTGCTCACCACTTAAGCAAAGCATGCAGGAACCTATCTGTCTTGGTTGCTGCTGGACTCTAAGCTTAGCCTAGTGCCTGGCACAGAGAAAGTGTTCAGTAAGTTTTTTTTTTTTTTTTTTTTTTTTTTCTGAGACAGAGTCTCACTCTGTTGCCCAGGCTGGAGTGCAGTGGTGCAATCTCAGCTCACTGCAACCTCCGTCTCCCAGGTTCAAGCAATTCTGCTGCCTCAGCCTCCCAAATCCCTGTAGCTGGGATTACTGGCGCCCACCACCACACACGGCTAATTTTTGTATTTTTAGTAGAGACAGGGTTTCACCATGTTGGCCAGGCTGGTCTCGAACTCCTGACCTCATGATCTGCCTGCCTTGGCCTCCCAAAGTGCTGGGATTATAGGCGTGAGCCACCACACCCGGCCTTCAATAAGTCTTTATTGAATAAATGGATGAATGGATGAACAATCAAACAATTGAATAAATGAAACGAGATCACAAGTTTGCAAGTGCCTGTAAGCTAAATAAAACGGTCCAGTCTTCTCCCATCCTCCACCCTCTGGGCATTGCTGGAATATCAGTTTTCCCCAATAAGAGGTGCCCTTTGCTCCTGACCCCTCTCCCCAGGCCACAAGCCCCGTCAGCAGAGGGTTCCCACCTCTTCTGTTCCCCCCAGCTTCTGCTTACATGGTGGCGCTGCAGCCCACACACATGTACATGCACGTGTGCTTGTGCTCGCACATTCGCTCATGCACACACATGCACACACGGACATGTTCTCTACCAGCCAAAGTGCCCTCCCCAGAGTCAGCTATCTGCTGCCCCCTCCCCTGGCAAAGACTGGGCCCACCAGGGATAGCCCCCTCCCCGTTTCTGGCCCTCCAGGCTGGGGAGGGGCATCTGACTATGGAGATCTGGCGGGAGGGGGAATGGTGGGGGCCTCCCTCCTGGCTTACTAACCTGGAGACTTTAAACAGAGGGAACAGAGTCCTGGAGGCTTCCCTCCCGCCGCACGCTGGAGCCCTGGGTGAGGGACAGGAAAGGAGGAAAGTCGTGAATGAATGAATACCCAGAAAGGCCCGGCTGAAGCAGAGGAGCTGGAGAGAGGAGGGGACCAGGGCAGGGGCTCCCAAAGTGGGCGGGGACCAGGGCAGGGCCATGGGCCATGGTTTGGGGGAGGTGAAGCAGGGATAGAGCAAGGCAGAGCCTTAGGAGCTCTCCCTTTGGGGTGGGCCCCCCAGGACAGACAGGATAGAGACTGGGTGTCATAGGAAGAGCAGGGACTGAGCGGGCAGAGACACTGATGGGAGACAGACAGGGGGACAAACAGAAGGACAACATGGAAAACATAGGGTCCCCAGAATTGGGTTCCCTGGACAGACAGCCGACAAGCCATGCCTGGTTCTCCTCCCAGAAACGGGGGCAGACGCTTTACTAGGGGACCCAACCTAGACCCCAAATGATAGCCGGTCTGCCTCCCTCTTGCAAGGTCACGCCATTCTGGAAGGTTGATAGGTTCAGGGTCAGAGAGGCCTGCCATCACTGCCCTGGTGACAACCCTCTCCCCAGGCTAAGAATCTCCCATCTGCTCACTCCCCACTAACCCTGAGAAAGCCCCACTTCCCCTGCCAGCATTGACGAGACAGGCATTTCCCACCCAACAGGCACTCCTAGGTGCACACTGCTAGGAGCTGTGCAGAAGGACGGCCTGCCCAGACCTGCCTGAAGTCCTTCACCTAGCTCCTGCCTCCATGTCCCCAACCCTCAACATACCAAGGCAGGGTCCCCTGCAGCTGTCCACCATGCCCGGCCCTGCAGGGAAGTCCTTTCTCAACCTACCCCACCTCCCTCATGCTGCCATACCTATTAGCCTTTTACCCTGGGGCACGCAGCAGTAAGACCTTTCCTGCCTGGAGACACAGCCCTCCCTTGGCTGGCTCAGACCCATCCATTCCCACGTCACGTCTGGCTACAGGCATTCTCACAGCCCCCTGCCAATCTCATGGTTCCAATTTTCCCACCGATTACCCAAAATGCGGACATCACAGGGAGAAACAGCTGTTGGGACACGGACTGGGAGGAAATACTAAGAATGCTCACTAACATGTCTAGCCCTAGAGGGCTTCCTGGATGAGGCGGTGGGAGGCACAGGAGTGAGGGTTCAGGAGCTCCACCTTCCTTCTTACCACCAGTCCTAAGTGGCAGCTCCAGGGGCCCAGCCCCAGACAGGCTGCAGTGAGAATCTGGGTTCTAGAAAAATCTAAAGAGATTTCTTATGCATGCCCCTTCCTCAGTGGAGGGTGGGCTCCCATTCAATCATTCAGTCAGACAGAGGAAGAGGAGGAAGACAAAAAATGACTATTTATTGAATGTCTACTGTGTGCCAGGAGCTCTGCCTAAATTACCTCATTTAATCCTGCTACCCACTCTGTGGGGAAGCCAGTTAATGCTCTCAATCTACAGAGATGGAAACCACTTCAGAGAGGTAAAGCAACTTGCCCAAAACCACACAGTGAGTGACTGTCAGGGCTGCGACTGCATCCCAGAGCTGTCCAACTCTAGACCCTGAGCTCTTAACCCACGAGCTAAACGTCTCCTATCCAACCTCCCCAGTCTTTGGCCATCTCCCTTTTGGTGGCCTCTGGGAAGTTCTTCCTAAAGTCCAACCTCTTTCTAGTGACTGTTCCAGCAGAAATTATCTCCTATGGGCAATAAGGTAGAAGAGAAGATTTCTCCTTGGTCTCTGCCTCGTCCTAAGAGTGGGAGGCAGACTGTTCTAACCCCAGGCTGCCAATGGACCAGCAGAAGGCTGAGCCATCAGGTCGAGGAGAGAGGCGGGTCCAGGATTTCTTGAGCTTCATCTTTAGTTGACTCCTGCCTCTCTAAGAGCCCCTTCCTGCCCCTCCCACTTCCAGGAAAGAGGAAGCTCCAGGAAGCCCCGAACAAGCCCCTTCTCGGTTTTTTTTTTTTTTTTTTTACCAACCGGGAGTCCCCATAGTGCCCAGGTAGAGGAGAGTGCAGAAGTTCTGGGGTGGACAAAGTGAGACTGTGGCAGTCCCCACAACCCTTGCCTTTCCACAGAGCCCTAACTTTCCATGGGTAAGGGGGCTGCAGACAAGAATGGGGACTCACCAGGCCAGCCTGGTCACTGGGTGGGGTGGAATAGGCAGAGGACGGCCCAGGAGAGAAGGCAGCGAGGCCCAACCCAAAGGCTTCAAGGAGCCATGGAGGGCCTTCCCAAGGAGCCAGGTCATTCATTCTTCCCATAAGAAGGAGAGGCTTGTGTCTGCTACACCTGCCATTATCATGCACCCTAGGGGTGAGAGGAGACTGCAGAACATGTCCTCCCCTCCGCCCAATCTCCCCAGCTCTGCACAAACAGAAACAGCTAGGCTCTTTCTGCGGGGTCTCTGGGTCTGGGGTCTCTCTATAAACCGAGTCTGGGGGACCCTCTGTGGCCCCCTGGGTCTGTGGTCTCCAGCATGTTTTGCCAGCTGGAATGGAAAAGAAGCCAGTGCTCTGGTATGAGTGCATTTGCAGAGGTGAGGAAGACAGGCAAGAGAAAACCCAACTCCCTTCCAGTCTTGGTTTAACCCAAACCAGGACATGCAGGCAACTGAAGCAGGTGGCCGAGGCTACCAGGAGCCAGGATAAGGTGTGGGGGAGCTGAGCCACCAGCTGGAAGTGCCTTGTGGAAGAAAACCCGGACTGGATTATAGTCCCTGGATGGAATGGAGTGTGGCAAAGCCAGTTCTGCTGGGGTGGGAGGAAAACAGTGAGTTTAGAATTCAGAGGACAGCTGAATCCTCTAGCCACTCCCTTCTCCATCCCCTGGACTGGGAGGGCAGCTGTAGGCAAGGTGTGTCTTCGCAACAGGAGGGAGGCTATCTGTAAGGAATGAGTGAGAGTGTGTGTGTATGTTTTCCAATATTCTCTTGGGCCAAATCTCCATTTTTTTATTTTGCTTAGCTGAAGCTGGGAAACAATCTTCCCACCCTCCATGTGGCAAAGCAATATTATCTCAAGGGGGAGGAGGTAGAGAGACCCTGGGAGTGTTGGAAGCGAGCTTGAAGGTCTTCTAGTCCCACCCTCTTTTCTTATACCAAGGACACTGAAGACCAGAGGGGGCAACTAAATTGCCAAGGTCACACAGCAGTAGGGGAGACAGGCAAGCTGACTCTAGCCCAATGCTGCCTCTTTACAATTTACCTCTCTGCCCTGAGGAGCAGAGGAGCAGCTTCTCTGTCTCCTCCTTTTCTCCCTCTCCCGAAGCACTGGACCCCACCCCAGCAGGGCCCCCTGCACTCTGTCCACCACACCAGCCAAATGCCTCAGGATGCCCAGAGGTCATCTGAAAGGTCATGCTGACCAATCCCCTGCCCCTAAGTCCAAGACTAGCCTACGGTGCTCACAGACCACCGTCATTGAGGTGAAAGATGCAAAAATACCACCAGAGCCTCCCATCCTGAAGTGGCCACACGCCGGGAGGTTTATCTTCCTATCTAACCTCGATTCCTCCTACTACAGCGTGGGCCTGCTTCCTCTCAAGCTGTCCTATGCAGAGATGGAGGCAGGGGGAGAAAAACAGGTTTGCAGCCTCCACACCCTTCTGTTTGCCCACCCCCAGCAGAGAGGATGAGGGCAGGGTGTCCCAGGGTGGCTGGGCTCCAAGCCCAGTGCATGCGTGGGGCCCGAAGGGTAGGGTGAGGGGCAGCAGCCTGAGTATGGGGAAACAGCTCTTCCAGGAACTGCCCCTCCAAGTCCTCATCCTCTGCAAAATCCTAAGTCACAGGCTTAGAGAAGAGTCTTCTCTGGGTTCAGAGACATCTGTCCCCCATCCCATCACATTTATTGACTGTTTATTATGTGTCCAGCACTATGCGGGATGTTTTCATCTGTTGTTTCATTTAATCTTCACAACAATTCCAGGATCAGAAACGAATCTGCCTCCTGGGACAGTCCTTCCTTAAGACTAAGTCTAACCTGGATCTCTCTTACTGCATTTCTCTGGCCCAGTCCTCCTTGGTGGTGGAGGGCATTTTTGTTCTTGTCTTCAGAGACTCTTCTCATGACCCAGTGGACTTACAGTATCTTCTCCAGGCTATCACCCTTGACCCAGCCCTGCCCAGGTGAGGGGAGATACGGAGATAAAAGGAACCAATGCAGAGCTGAGGGCGGAATGGGAGGAGGCTCTGGGGGAGGTCCCCACAAGATCAGGAGGGGCTGCTGGAGGTAGGAGCAGGACTGGGGTAGCAGGTTCTCCTCCCTCATAATGTCCATGACCCTTGCAGGGGGCCTGGGCCCCACCTTCTCTGTGAGCCACAGAGGGCCCAGAGAGGCAATGAATGACCTAGTCCTTCTCGGTGACCATCTCTGAGGCCCAGGTTTCAGCACACACATACCCAGACCCCAGGAGAATGGGCAAAAGCAGGCAGGGGCACAAGGACAGGACTTGCCCTGGCTGAGCCTGGGAGGTGAAGCCAGAGGGGGAGCTCTGACTCCTGGCAGAGGACGAACAGCCCTGGGAGGGCATGCAGCCGCAAGCCCCTCTGCCTGCGGCAGGATCCGGCCTCCGTGGGGGTTTGCACACCCCATCCTAGCCACAGGCAACTTTGGTGAATTCACCCACCACATGCTCCTTTTGGAGCAGGAGTGCTGAGGGCAGGGGTCCCCTCCACGATGGCCATCCCCCCACCCTGCCCCCAGCATGGATGGAACATAGCGGTCAGACTTACCTCCCCAGGGAATGCTCAGGCCCAGCTTTCACCCCTCTGGGAAATCAGAGCAGCAAAAGCATGGGCCAATGGGCAAGGGGAGTTGGAATGGTGGGTGGGACTCTGGGCCGGGTGTGGGCGGCACCCTCCCCCTTCAAGCAGGCACCATTAATATATGCAAAGCATATGCAAATCACCCAGAAGAGAGACACAACACTGCTGGAATGTCACAAGAGACCTTGGAGATCAGCCAGCCCACGCCCCCTCATTTCACAGGTGAGAAAAGAGGCCCGGCTGGGAAGGGACTTGCTCAAGGTCATGAAGACATTTGGGCACTGAGGAAGGATAAGAATGAGCTCTCCTGACTTAGCGCACTGCTTTTTCCACCAGGGTCTTGTCTTTCTGCTGGGGGGTTTACAGCATGACACAGGGGCTCCAGGGTGTGGATGGGGTTCTAGGCAGGCCCACCAGAGAGACAAGGGTGGGAGATGGAGCTAAGAGGCTTCTTGGATGCCTCCCTCCCACCTCTGCACCTGGAGATGGTCTGGTGGGTGTGAGGGGCAGTGCAAGGGCAGCACAGCACCTGCGGGCGCCAACGGATGGAGGGGCAGGAGGCTGGAAGTAGGCAAGGAGAAATCCCAGGGGCAGGGGAGGAGAGCAGGGAAATTGGAGTGTTTGAGGCAGGGGAGAAAGAGCCCAATGTCAGGGCAAGGTGCCCGCAGTGGTGTGGGGACAGGGATGGCGCCCTCAACACACACACACACACACACACACACACACACACACACTCTCTCTCTCTCGCTCTGTCTTTCTCTCTCTCTCTCTCACACACACACACACACACACACACACAAACACACACACACACACAGACTCCTAAATGCTCAGCAGCCCTTCCTGCCTGGACTCGGACAATTACGGCACCTGACAGACCATAATAGTTAACCCAGGCCCATCCCTTCTGAGGCCACTTTCCCACCCCCAACCTGGCTTCTCAACCTTCCAGTCCTCGAAAGCAGGGCCAGAGCTGGGGAAAGGAAGGGGAGGCAGACGATGGGAGGGGCAGTCAGAGGGAAAAAGGGGAGGCAGGAGAGGCGAGGAGACAGGGTTAGAGAGAGAGACAGCAGGAAGGGCAGCGCAGGAGAAATTGAGGGGCAGGGAGTGGGAGGGGAGGAATGGGGAGATGGAATGGCACAGAGGAGAGATGGGGGAGGGGGGAAGACCGAGGGCACCCAGGAGAGCGCTCTGGAGCCCCTAGAACTGAGGACGATGCTGGAGCCCAGGTATCGGGTACAGGAACTCTGACCCTGAGGTTCTAGGCTGCCTGGCAGGCGTTGGGAACCATGCCCCTGCCCCTCTGCCCACTTCCCTAGAAACTCCCCCCCCATGCCAGGAATTCAGTCCTCCCTCCTTCACTGCCTCCCTCCCTTCCTCCCTCGGGGCAGGCACTGCTTCCCAGCCAAATCCGAAGCCTTCATCTCCGCTTTTCAGAGCTTGAAATGAAAGAAGGGGAAGCCAGTACAGCCCTCAAACCCGCTGACGGCCAGATTTTTATTATCTTTGCTCAAATGGGCCCTAGGAAGCCAATGAGGGATTCTTCAAAGAGCGTCTGAGTGCCTCATTGAAGCCTGCACCTGCACCAGCCCACCCACAGCAGGCAGCCAGGACTCGGGGGGCACAACCTGACCCCCCACCCCACCCCCAATCCTACAGTCCAGAGCCTAGGCTACCAGGAGCCTCACCCTCAGCACTCTGTGCCCTGCAGGGGCCCCTCGGCCAGGAAACCAGGCTTGAAGCTAGACCTAAGTCTGCTGGGCCTCTAAGGCAGTCTCTGTCCCTCTCTGGGCCTCAAGGACATAAATTAAGGAAGAAAACAGATCTCCTTGCCAGGGCTTGGAGGAGATAAGTGCTTGGGATTCCTCGAAAGAGCGGCTTTTATGGCAAGCCCTGGATCCTTCCCCTGAACTCCCTGCCTGCCCAGCACTCACAGGCCCCTCTGCAGGAGCTACCCCTACCACAGCCACTTCTTCCTGTGCCCCACGCCCACTACCCAGGATGACAGACACCATGAACTGCTCTTCCTGGGGCCGCAAACTCAGCTCCCTCAGTTCAAATCCTCAACACTGTCTCCCTTCTTTCCCCAAAGCCTAACCTGGAGTGGGGGTGGGGCTCAACAAACTGGGTACTTCAAAGAGCCCAGCCCCCTCCCTCCTAAGCACTTCCAGGGCTGGGGTTTTGGCAGAGAATGCCAAGGTTGGCATGGGCAGAAAGCAGCCATGCCACCCCACCCTCTAGCTCTGACCACACTGTCGAGATCAATGCCCACAGCCAAAGAAGGAATCAATGGTTCTAATTAAACCCTTTTTCCAGGGTGGGTCCCTGGCGAGAAAGAGAGAGAGAGAGTGTGGGGGGGGGGAGAGAGAGCGCATCAGAGAGGCCCTGCATCCCATCACCCAACCCAGTACCCTGCACATCTTTTAAGATGCCTGGAACCCAGCAGGGATCAGGCCATGAAGACCCCAGACTCTCTGCATTTGGCAAGAAGGCAAGTAGAAGGGCAGGGTGAAAGCCTGAGGTGAGGGTAGCTGTCAGAGGGGCTCATTCTATCGACCCTCCCCCTAGAAGAGCGTCCCCCTCCTCCACTCAGCACTCCCCGAGGACCACAGTTGCCTCTTCCAGACAGAGCTCCAGGACACAGACAGTGGGAGCCGGAAGGGGGATTTGCGCCTCCATCCCAGCCCTGAGGGTCATCACAGAGAACCAGCCATCATGGAAAAGGCGGAAGGAGCAGGAATTGTTGTAGGGGGGTACTGGACAAAGACCCTCTTGTCCCCAAGGCAGGGTGCCAGGAAGCCAGGGCAAAGCCTTTGCACTTGCTGCCAATGGTGCCTGGGTGCCAGGCAGTCTGGGTGGGGACGGTGGGGGTGGGGGGAGCAGCGTGGTGGTGGTGGTGGATCTTCTTCTTGGAACCCCTCCCCTGCCCTCACCCCATCCCTTGCTTCTACCCCAGGCCACCAGCTAAGTCTCTGCCTCAGCAACTCTCAGCTTGCCTAGAGCATTCCTCCCTGTCAGAATGTTCCTTCCTGTGCCCCTGACACCTGTATGGAGTAGCCCATCACCAACCAGAACCAACAGAACCCCTCACGTGCACCACAGCTGCTCCCCACATACAACCACACCAGAAACCACCACCATCACAGCTGCCACCAGTGGTGACGGAGCCTCACAATCTCCAGCAAATTCATCATCAATTTTTAAAGACCAACAAGAGGGAACAGGAAGGGAATAAAAGAAACTGAGGCACAGAATTAGACAGCACAGCAGTTGGTTCAAGGTCACCAAGACCAAGATACCAAGAGTTGGGAGGAAGGTATCCTGATGACCCCTCAAAAGTGCTCAAACCTCACCCAAAGGAACATTCAGGCCCACAAACCTGGAAGTCTGGTCAGCTTCCCTCACTCCCAACCCTCACCTGTTTACCCCTTCCCTGAAAGAGACAGCAGCTCCTCCATCTCCTCTTGAAAGGCTGCTGCCAGAAACCCTCCCAGCTCAGGGAGCCCACTTTCCTTAAAGTTGGGGTGCTGCAGGACCTCCTGGTCCCACAATATTTGAGGAGAGGGGCTGGGAAGACAGTCCAGGATCCCCCTCCTTGCCCACTTCCCAGCGACTGCTCACCTGGCTCCCCTCGACCCCCAGGGTCCCTCGGTCCGGCCTCCTCCCTGGGAGAGCGGGCTCTGCCCTCCGCAGTCCTCTCCCACCAGGCCAGGGCAAAGCGCCGGAGGCACTGCCAGGGCTGCATGGGGAGGCGTGGGGCTGGGGGGCGCGCACCAGCAGCCGCACACGCCCCGCCGGGCCCTGCCAGCCGAGCTGCGGAGGCACCCGGCCGGTCCCCTCTGCTTCCACCAGCATCCTGCTGCCCCCACCGACAGGACTCGGAGCTGGCCCGGGAGCTTCTGACGTAGCAGGGGGGTGCGTGGGAGGGGAGGGGGGGCCATGGTGCGTCCCCTTCCCAGCCCCACCCTCTACCCCTCAGCCGCCTGCCTTCCTACCTTCTCACTCACCCTAGATGCCCTCCCCAGCTGGGGGCGCCCTCCCCTGCCCTCTGGCCTCCGCAGGGGGAGGGGTTAAAATAAAATAGCCCCTCCCTAAACCCCTCCCTCTCGTGGGCCCTCCCTACCCGCCGGTAGAGCGGGGAGCTGGTCCCCAGTTTCTGCAACTGCTGCTGAGGCTCAGAGGTCTCCAGGGCTAGGGCCTCGAGGTGCGGGGAGGGGGGGCGGTGCGTGGAATCACAGGCTTGTATCCTGGCAACACGGCCAACCCCAGAACGCACTCATCCCCTTCCTTCCCTGGGGGCTGGCGCAAAGGGCCACCACCACCATCCCGGCGCAAGCACCCCATTCTGGGAGTTGGGAGAGGGAGGCCTTTGATGCACCCCTCACTTCTCCATCCCCTTCCCCTCCCCCTGCATCCTCCTCTTTCTTCACCTCGGATGGACGCCCGCCTCCCTCCATCCTCCTAGCCATCCATCCTCCTTCTTCTCCCCTCCCCTGCCCCCTCCACATAAGCCCCTTTACAGTTTAACCCCTCTGGCCCCCACCCCAGGGCGCCGCGAGGCCCTCCCCACCCAGTCTCCTGCCTCGCCACCCTGCCCCCTTCTCTGGTCCCAGCACTCCTCTCGCCCTGGTCCTTCTTCCAAGCCCGGCGCACAGCGGTCCCCTGCCCCCCACACACCTGCGCCCAGCATCCCTCGCCCCGCCGGCCACCGCCTCCCCGGCCCGGCCGCCGCCCCCGCCCCCGGCCGAGGGGGAAAACACACAAAGAAAACAGAAATACCTTCCACTTAAGCATGGAGGCACATTAGGGAGGAGAGAGACAGGGACATGCCTTGGGACGGAGCGTTCCCCATCGGGCGGGGGCGCGGGGGGCGGGGGCCCCGGGCCGGCCTGCCTGGCGCTCGCCCTCTCGCCGCCTCGCGGGCTCCTCGCTCGGCCCCAGCCCCGGGGCGCGGTGCCAGGCGGGCGGGCCGGGGGCGCGGGCCCCGCCGGGGTGGACCAGCTGGGAGGGCGCCGGCGGCCGGGCGTGTGGGTGCGCGCGCGCGCGGGCGTGTCACCGAGTGTGCGAGAGCGAGTGTGTGTGTGTGAGTGTGTGTGTGCGCGCGCGCTCGGGCCGGCGCGGGTGTGTCACTGCGGGCGGGCGCGCGCGCGGCGCGGGCGCGCGCGTATGGCCGGAACGTACAAAGGGCCGCCGGGGGCGGCGAGGGAGGGGGAGCAGAGGGGGTATTGCGCCTTCTCGCGCCCTCGGGCTGCACCGCGGGATCCCGCAGCGCGCGGCCCGGGCTGGGCGCCGGGCGCGCTCACTCCCTCCTCCCCGCGCCACCTGCTTCTCCCACCCCTAGTCGTCTTCGCACCACGATAGACACAAATGCATTGACTGGGAACCCGCGCGAAGGTGGCACCCGGGGGAGCGGGGACACCTGGAGGGCGGAGGACTCCTGGGTCTCCCAGCCCGGGCGTGCCTAGAGATGGAAAGGCTCTCGAGGCTGGGTGGGGAGGCGGAGCGGCGAGACTGGGGGCTCCCTTCAGCCAAGGTGACCTCGGAAACCAACAGCCGCCCCAGGCCGGGAGCGCCTGGACCCTCCTCTGCTTTTGCTTCTGCCGCGCGACCTCTCACCCCCAGGCGCCTAGACGCGGCTAGGTCAGAGGGACTGGGCTCCCCGGCGCCCTCTGCTGGGCCGCCTCCTGGCCCCCGCTCCGGGTTGCGGCCCCTCCTGCAGGCGTGCGCCGGAACTGCAGGCGCGCGTGCTGGCAGGGAGGGCGTCCGTGCTCCTCCGGCCTGTGCGACCCCACGGCAGGACGCCCCAGCGACTGTCCCTGCTCACGCTTCGCTTGGCGGCGCCACTGCCGCCTCTACCGCAGCCCGCAGAGCACCAGCTCTGTTCCACCCCGGCGTCCCCCGCCGCTCCGCGTCCCGCGTTCGTTGGCCTACCTGTTGGCTCTGCAGACTTCTCCAGCGCTGACCCAGACCCGGACCCAAGCCCGCGCCGACCCCTCGTGCTCCAGCGGCCCCCTCCCTCCCTCGCTCCGATTCTCTGGCCAGTCCCTTCTCTCTCAAGCTTTCTTGGAGAGGAGAAGGTGGGCTGAGTCCCCTGCCCCTTTTATTTACTTCTGGCGTTTCCAAAAACAGTTTAGATGAGCAAGAGAGGGGACACCGTACATCTCTATTAACTATGGGCCACCAGGCAGAGTGGCAGGCAGGCAGAGAGCCCAGGAGAGGAGACCCCACCCCAAGTGGCCTAAATGACAAACCGGTTTCCCCACTTCCTGGTCTATGCAGTTGCAACCTTAATCTGGGCTCTCCCAATTTCCTGTCCACCACCAGGCCTGCCCCTGAGCCAGCCACATGCCTAGCTAGGGACAAGGTCCCAGATGCCCCTTAGAGATCAATAACCAATTGCAGTAACTCAGGTGGCAGGGCCAGGACCAGAGGAGGAGAGGCCCTTTCCAGCCCCAGCAGGACAAATCAGGAGGACAGCCAAGAGCTGTGTCCTGGACACACGGTCTGGGCACACGACCGCAGCGGCCGGCACCCTGACTTCTTCCCTCCTGGGCCAACTGCCTTTCCCTCTGCCAACTGGATGGCGCCCATCTTTTGGCCTCTGAATGCACAGTGGGCATCCATCCAGCACCCTGCCTGGCTGCCTGCCCAGGATGGGCATGGGAGGCAGCAGGCTCTATGTAGGGAGGCTCAGGGGAGGCAGGGGTAGCTTCCCCTCAGCACAGGGACACCACCTCTCAAGCAGCCGGGAGCCCAGTGCTCTGGCATAAGCTGCTCCTCCATTCAGACTCCCCACTGACCAACTGCACTGGACTGCTGCCCTTCACCTCCCGGCAACTCAGATTCCCCCCAAGGGACAAGATTTCTTCCCTCCTCCACTTTGAGCCTAAGGAGAAGAAAATCAGCAGGTGCTCTACCCATAATCTCTAACCCTTTCAATAGCCTGACAGAAGTGAGCATTGTCAACCCCATATCAGAGAGGTATAGCCAATTGCCCACTGTAAGGGCAACAAAGTTGAAATTCAAACCCACATCTGCCTTATGCCAAACCTCCCCGCCTTTCTTCTGTCACCATCCTCTCATAACCCTGTGGGCCGCCACAGCAGGCACACCCCTGACACACAAAATCTCATAACCATACAGTTGACCTGGGATCAAGAATGTGGTCGAGAGTTCAGATGTTTAGCCATGCCAATAATCTGGACGGGCACAGGGATCGGGTCCTGTCATGGGGAGAGTGACCTGAGGCATTACCTCTAGCTGACACTTGAAAAGATGCTGCCAAGACAAGACAGGCGGATCACAAGGTCAAGAGATCGAGACCATCTTGGCCAACATGGTGAAACCCCATCTCTACTAAAAATATAAAAATTAGCTGGGCATGGTGGTGCACACCTGTGGTCCCAGCTACTCAGGAGGCTGAGGCAGGAGAACCATTGGCTTGAACCTAGGAGGTGGAGATTGCTGTGAGAGATCATGCTACTTCACTCCAGCTTGGTGACAGAGCGAGACTCCGTCCCCAAAATTAAAAAAAAAAGAAAAAAAGAAAAGATGCTTGTGCCATCAAGTGGAGGTTTGTCTGCCAACCCCACTGGCTTGGGGTTGGATAGAAAGGTTCTGTGAAGCAGCCCCCCGGGATGGGGAACAGTTCCAAAGGTGTCACCAGAACAAAGCATCCATTCTGCCTGCCCTAAGGTAAGCTCGCTCATCATGAAGGCCAGCTCCATAGTAAGGAGCTTAAAATCAGATTTATGTAATATTTTTAATGTGTAAAGCTCAATTTAATGATGAATCCTTAGCATTTCTGATCATCTTCATAGCTGTCAGCTCATTTGAGACCTTTCTCCCCTCTCCTCCCCAAAGATGCTTTGTCCACACCCACCCCACCCAGCTGACTCCCTGGGTCCCCCAGAGGGGTAAAAGGGGATACAGCTCCCTGAATAGAAGCCAATGCCCCAAGGCTGAAAGTGGAGCCAGAGGACAGATGACCTGGCACCACCACTCCTCACTGACCCCAGGAAACATGGGTGCCTTTCCCTCCTCCCATCAGGTCTCAAAATGAGGGGTTCCTGGTGGAGCGAGAAGGCTGGGGACACCATCTCCACTGATCAGGGTGAAAGCAACACAGGTATTACTTCAGCTGAGAGATGAGAATTGCTCCTGTAAGCTGGCATGGTGCCCAGGCACAACCAATGTGCCAGCTGCCTCCACCTGAGGTGCCTCAGGTGCCACCCCACCCCCACTCTCATTCCTCAACAGGTAACTTCCCTTTGGCCCTCCTCCCCTGTCTCTGGCAGTGTATTTGGTCGGGAGGGGCAGCTGGCATGTTTGGGTGGGGCTTGGAACAGCAGATCCTAACCACTCACCTGGCCTCCATGCCACCCAGCCCTCACCTGTTCCTGGGAGCTGGCAATAGAGAGGTTATGGGGGTGCATCCCAGAGGAGTGAATTCTCAGCCTTGCCTCTCTTTCCCCACGATGCAATAGGAACAGGGGTTGCATCTGGACCAACAGCTGGGCAGGCAAAGGGAGATGGGCTTTGGGGTGGGCCTGGGGGTGCATCTGGGCCTCTAGGAGAAGGCACAGGGAAACAGGTAATGTGGAAATGATGTCTGGGACACCCCACACTGCTCACTCTGCTGCGTTGGAGCACCGCCCCCCCACCCCCCAGTATCCTTGAGAAAGCCCCCAGTCCATGGGATTATTGTCTAGCCAGGCATTTCATGAGACCCTCAAGGAACCATCCATACTCCACTAAGGTGGCCTGCAGACCGTAGGGGCCTGGTGACCCGTTCCTGTTCTGGGGCGAGTGACCAGGGACAGTGACCTAGCACCTGGGGCAC